CTGGATGTGCCTGCTGAGCGGGCGTACAAATGACTATGTCGGAAAACACAAGAGATTTAGCAGAAGGGTAAGTAGCAGCGCACAGCGTTTCCCGCTTGGCGTAGAGGCAGTTCTGATCTTGCTGTTGAAAGCAAGGGAGAAGCTGCAGCCCGCTGAAGCATGACTAATGAGTTTGTGAGGATGCTTCGCGCTCTCTCGTTTGAAGTATTGCTTCCATATTGTTCACAGTAACAAATGATGATTTGTAGCATTTATGTAAGGTGTGTATTGTGTTCAGGTCTTAAGCCCTTTACTTGGGACCTACATGAAACGTCAGGTTTCCTTGGAGCCTGAGGGGAGCGTGCAACTTGTATTTTTGCTGCTGCTGGGGTGGGGGGGAGCACTGTGTTAATAATTTTTATTCCAAAAAAGATGCCAAGTAACGAATAGTTCTTATTTGCGCTTTAAGCTTAAACAGTGTGTTTTGCTTTGTCATCTTTCTGTTTTGAAGGAATATTTTGAAAAGGTTTATTTGTATTGAATGGAGTAGTTCTCCTGCATGACAAGAAATAAACAAAAAAACCCCAGGTAAAATGTTACTAGTCTTAAGTATTTTAAGACAGATGAGAATATGTTATTATTATTAGTGTTACATATGCTGTTTTGTTCAGGGACACAGGTGTAAAAAAAGCAGGTAAGAATTGTAATACATGTAAATAATAATTGGCAGAGTTTTAATTATTACAGTAAGTAAGGTTCAGAATAGGCAGACACGATACTGCATGTTGTATGAGACGGATGCCAGGACTGGGGTAATCGATGTTTGCAAAGCACTTGGAGGGTCTCTTGGGTGCAGAATGATTTGCAGTGTATCTGAAGTGTGATCGCAACAGCCACTATGAACAGTGTCATATAATGTTTCTCTCAAATTTATAATCCTGTTTTTCATATATGTAATGATGCTCTTTTTTTCTTTGCAATCACTATTCTTAACAACAAAAACCACTGCTGCAGTCAGTGGTTGTTACTGGTGCTATCTGTCCTGTGCTCCCCTGTCTTTTCCCTCAGATGATGCCAGGACTTTGCTCTCTGTTTCTCCTTTCGGCAGGCTACCTGTTGTGCCATTTTCTTAAGGAAGTAATATAATTTCCAAGTCACAAGACAGTTCACATCAGCTGGAGCTGTTGAGAGTCAGGATTGATGAGCATTTGTTTGTATTTTGTCAGGGGAGCTTTTTTGTACAGACTTGCACACAACATACTAGCGCAATACAGCTCTTTGATCATTACATGCAGATGTTTCAACTGTCCTAACTTTGGCCGGGTTACCTTAACTTTGTTAGTGCAAGGTCTTATTGTTTCTTCTATGGATTTTTTTTGTCCGGCAGTTGTGGTAGCGATGAACTTGGGCCAAACTTAGCTGGTCTCTATTATCCTGTTGCCAGTAACCCAAAGACCAGCTGAGAACCCTTGTGACAGGTCAGGCTGACATCTGAATGTTGTAAAGGAGAGAAGTACAGCCAGAGTAAGCCGCTGAGATAATCTTCTGACTTTGAGATGCGGCGGCAGGGTTTTTGTGTTGGTGTGCAGTATTACTTCTTAGGGACGGTGATGTTCTCAGGAGCATGCAGGACGTGAAATTTTAACCCACCTGCAAGTCTGTAGTGATCTGCTGGTCAGGAGCCAGATGGAACATGAGCTGGACTAAAGCGGGTGTCCCAGCAGCAGCCGGTGCAATAATCTAATGCAGTTTGGCAACGTCTCATTCTTAAAGTGACAACATGATCATAATGTCACTAGCCTGTTGTCTCCGTTAGCCTTACACACAGTCGGATGTGCGTTGTCACCCAGTGCTTCTGTGTTCCTGATACCTGAGCTCATCAAATTTCCACGCTCCTGCGTGGTAAATTCTGCGTGTCCAGGCTTTTATTTACAGCACACGCAGCTTATCTTATTTTCAGAAAGTACAGAACTTGAATTGCTTTCCACATATCACAGAGTAAGAGCATAGTTTAAAAAAAAAAAAAAACCAAAAAAACCAAAAAAAAAACCAACCGAACAACAAACATAATGGAAGACACTTTCATTTTTTGCAATCAGGAGAAATGGAATAGCAGATTATACTGCGAATAAGGCTAGAACTGAAGATGGGGAGTTCAAATGTAGAAGTAATGCAATGGTAGAAGGAGAACAGGTGTGCTGAGTTTATTCTCTCTTCTTCTAGCAGGTTACCTACATCAGACCTCAATGTGGCATTGCAAGAGTGTATGGCAGCTCTGGATTTATTTCTTAACAACAAGTTCTCGGATGCTTTGGCTTCTTTACAAGCAAAGTAAGTTTATTACTTTTACTAGTTTTCCTTTGTTTATTTTTCTTTGTTTCACCATCTCTCAGGAGGATTAACTAGACAGTTCTTTGTCGATAGTTGATAAGACTGCATGGTTTTGGTTCAGAGGGGGTGGGAAGTTAATGTGTTAAGTTTTGGGGAAGACAGAATAAGCGCTTTACACTTGGGTGAGTAAATAACAAGATTGATCAAAAGTAACTACAAAAAGTACTGAATTGTTGTCCAAAGAAGTAACCCCTCAGCTGTAGTACAGTATGTGAGATTCCTGCTCCTGGAAGAGTAAAAAAATCTTCTGTACCTTTCTTTTTTTCCCCTTCCTTTCCCATATTTTTCTGTACACTGTGAGAATTTGAGAGTTTATAATTTTGTGTCTACATGAGCAACTGACCATGAATTGCCAGGTCTGGGGCACATCAGTTTTTAAATTTTTAATTTTTTTTTTAATAACCAATTGCAGAAGCTTTCTCACAGCTTATTTTGCAGTTCAGTGTTGTGGTCATGCACTCCTTTTCCTAAATGCATTACAGCCCAGCATGTAATGAGTGGCCCAGCTGCAAGCGGCAAGGTCATAAAATAGCCTCTAAAAATTGTTGTCCTTACAATGTTTGTGACTTTTTTCATACCCTGTCCTGAAGTTACCTGTGCTTGTCTTGTTGAAGTCTGTGGTTAATTCACAATTTTTTCCCCCTACTTGCTCCATTTATTTTTGCGCCATCAGCAAATAAAGTCATTCCTTCTTTCAGGCCACTAGAATATGAAACAAGTAAAATTCATAGGTAATGCAGTAGTGTGTGTTTGTTATGCATCAAGGGTAACTATAATGCATACTACATACCTACTTTGCTGAGGTGTCAGCCTCAGTCTTTGATGCTGGAATCTGTAGCTTAACTATGTAAGTACGCTCTGTGGAAGACATTCATGGTAAATTGTAGGCTCAGCTGTATGAATAATTCTGGTTTTATTCACAGCAGTGGTGTTTTGTTTTTATATAACATCAGATGATATCATAAAAATGGTAAGAAGTACAACTGTGTTTTCATTAAATACTGATAGTAAAGCCCTTATGCCCGTCTGGAAAGGCTTACTCAGTGCTTAGCATAAAATAGGGAGATATTTTATTGAAGGGGGTTTCCAAAACACTGCAAAAGCTATTGAGGCTGTGGGGTGTTTTTTTTCCTGTAAATACATTTTTCTTCTATTGCATATGGTTTTCATTCAGTTTTTCTTGGGCCCTGCAGAACATATTTCACGAGCTGATACTCTGCTTTTGTACCTGACTCTATTCCACATTGCAAAACCATTTTGAAACTGATTTTTCATGCTAGCTTGTTGTTATGAGGAGGCTTTTACTCCTGTTGTCCTTTGGCAGTGAGGGAAATACAGACTTATCTCTGCCAGTGTAATGAAGAAACAGGATGCTAAATTTCCCCACATGTGATATCCATTATGGACACAATCCATCTCTTCAGGGAATGACAAGAACTGTAGAGTGGGCACATACGGTAACATTGAGTATTTTCTTTAGGAGTCATCAGTTCCTTACTGTTGCCTTTCAGCGTGTTGAGATTTGAAATTGGTTTTTACAGTCCATAAACATACTATCCTTGTTTGAAGAAATACTTCTCAGTTTTTACACGCTTGTAAAGAATTTCATATCATAGATTATGCAGCTTTACCACTTATGTTGTAGGACATACTCTGTATTACATTACTGCTGATTCACTAAATTACTCACATTTGGCTTCCACAGTAAGTGTATTTTCAACTGATTTGTACCATGTGTAACTGAGAGCACATTTGGCAATGTATGAGAGTTAAAATTGGAAGATCTTTCCTAGCAGCTTAAAAATAAATATCTGAGGATGGTGGCCAGACTTATGTTGAGGTAAAGCTCTTTTTTTCTTGGCAGAAAAGCAAATCCATCATATAGAAGAGATCTCATTTCATAAAAGAATTCATCTGGCATTTTTGCTGCATGTTACATAACTTTTCTTGTTTCCTCACCTACCTTTTAGGTTTTAGAGTCAGTTTTCTTTATTATCATTAACAATCATTGTACAATAGTGGGCTCCAATTTTCATGTGGTTTCTGCAGTAAGTTTAATTAAACTAATCTTTTATATGGAATATTCACACTAAGTCTAAGTTAAATTCAGTTACAGAACGCAGCGGTGATTTTCAATATGTAATCTGTTAACTGTCACAATGAGTAACACTGAAACTGTCCTGTCACATCACCGGAGTGGGGAAAAAAAATCTCATCATCCTCCTCAACCGCAAGATACATACAGTAAATCGATTAAAAGCTGACTAGATTTTAGCTCTCATGTAATTGCAAAAAAAAAAATCATGAACTGAAGAGTTGATTCTGGTGAGATGTCTTCTTCCCTTCCTCAAGGCAGATGTTTAATATTTTAAGTTATCCTGAAGGAAAGCATGACATAATAACCTGATAGTTTGCTGATGTCAAATCGCTTGGGAGAATGGTAAATAGTAAAGATAAATTCATGACACGGAGTAGTCTGCATCATTGGATGAGCTGCAACACATCTGTGTTGCTGCTTGCAATATTGTAAGAACACTATGAGAACGATGCATTCCAGGCTGTCAGCTTTGTTCTGAAAATAGTCTCCAAAAAGCACTTGGTGATGTTTGGTGGAATGTTAATTCTAGAATGACTGTGTGTGAAAGATACGTTCGGTCCTTTGAGGGAGTTATCTCGGGTAGGTGTGAAGAGATTGTGTTACTGCTGTGCGAGTTACTTGTGAAATTTATTGGAGTAGTGTAGTTCTGTGGCACCTATTCACTATCACTGGAATTTTTAATGTAACTCCATTTACAGTATTAAATGTTATCTTGTATATTCTGATCTTTAAAAAGTTTAAAGACATTACTAAGGAATGGAAGCCTTTTGTCATGGATGTCTGCATGGTGTGGTGAAATGTTCCTGCGCTTGCAGAACAAAAACAAAGAGGATTTTCAGTGGGGTGGAAGAGCTTTCTCGGGGAACAGTTCTAACAAAGAAGGTGTGATTGTCAAATTGAGAGTAGTAACAGAGTAAGGGGAAGCATAGGGAGGTAGAGTGAAGCTCTAGCCAGTGGTTGGATAAAGGTGTGTACAGCTCTGCAGCAAGCTCGTTAGCTATTAATTGTAAAGAATGGCAAGGACATGAAGAAGGTCACTATTTCTAGGGTTTTTTTATCTTTTTATTCCTGGAGACTGGAAGAACACAACTTTTTTATAGTCTTTGTAAATAAATACATTGCTGCCAAAACCTGACTTAATTGTTGGTTTCACCTCCTAGCTGAAAGAACTTACTAGGTTATGAATTTTGGAGAATGGCATAGATCAAAAAGGCTATGGGGTACTGTTGTTGAACTGCAGCTTTTTGGCTTAGACCAGACTTACACCATTCTGGCAACTTGTGGTAGCTAGGGAACCAGGCTGGTGGTTGATTAGAATGGTCTTTTCTAGCTGTAAACTTAATGTGAGTGGGGATTTTTCATAGGAAACATGTTTTTATTGGAAAATGTCAATTCATCAAAACGGAGACTTTCTGTGGAAGTCCATGCAGTAGGTCTAGCAGGTTGTTTGGACATTGGATGGGACTTCTGATCAAAGATGAGAGCCTTGAGGCCCCGTGTGACCACATTCTCCGGATGCAGTTTTGGTTTGGGCCGCGCTCACTCTTGGGTGCACCGGGATGCACGGACTGTTGGCTGGTCTGTGGAGTCTGGTCTCACTCTGTGCTGCTGCATGTGTTTCCCTTGTTACGAGCATCTTGATACTGAATCGGGACGTAGGCTTGAACCTGGGGTTTCTGTGACCTGGTGATGCATGTCCTGCCTGCTGCATTACTGTAAAAGGGTCCACAACAAGATTTTGGGCACTGTGTTTTTCACAAACAATACTAGCCCCTGGGTTAATTATGAGGTCAAAACAAGCCAAGCTTTTTGTTTTTCATGCTTCGGCTGGAGGAGAGAGCTGTCACTGTCCTCACTTAGGTACTTGTTTTCAAGCAGGAATAAAACTGTTCTCCATCAGCCCTCAAGAAAGGGCAGTGCTACCAGATGATAATGATTGCACCGTAGCTGGAGAATAGGCATGTGGCATAACTCCGTAAGTGCCTAAAGATATTACTTATAATCCTCTTATTCAGCCATGTGATACCAACTCCTGGGATAAGTCATTAATCAGAATATTAGTTGTATTTATGTCATAAAGGCTGGTTAACTCCAGCAATGCCCTGGGGGAAGTGCTGCTGAGGAATCAAAAGAAGAAAAAGAAAAAAAAAAAAGCTATCGGGTTTTGTTCTGTATCCATCCAGGCCTTAAAACTTCTGGCAATATGCCAGGATGTAACTGGCAACTTTAATTGTACAATTAGTGTAAATAGTACAGAAAACCGTTGCATTTAGTTGCATTTCTACCTTCTTCCCAGCCCCGGAAAAAAGAGTAAATTTTAGTGTTGATAAAGTGTTACTAAAGATAAACATTAATTATTATCTCCTTTAAAATATTAGAAGCAAAATAGATGAGGCCATTGATTAGGGCAGGAGTGATTTGGTATCAGAAGTAAATTACTGGAGAGGGAAATCCCTCTTCACTATGAGTCTGTGAAAAGTATCAATTTTCCTTTTAGTGCAGTGAATTTAATATTTATCTGCTTTGATTTTGAAAGCAAATTTCTAAAATTTTGGAAGGGGACTATTTTAATGCCTTCCCTGTGCTTTAAATTGGAACCTTTGGAAGGGTTTTGTTTTAATAAAAATGAGATGAAGTGTATTTCTCTGTGCTCACTGAGGCTGATGAGTAATCAAATGAACAAGAACACTTCATCAGGCTGGCATTTTATAGTCTGTTCATTTTTTTTCTATTTTGCATTATCAGTCTACTGAAAGAACGGTGATGCAGGAGGCCAGGACAGAGCTGTCCTGACTCCACTGAATTTTAAATTAATCTCTCCATTATCTGTCTGTTCTTACTTATGTTGGAGATGAGATGGATGTTCGCATGGTGTGGCGCTCATAGTACTTAGGGCGGTAGGTGATTTCCCAAAATGGCTTTTATGCTAGATTGGTTTAGAGGTTGGTTAGAACAGCTTGTTAGATCACCTGTATATGGTGGGGGCAACTAGGAATTAAGGACAACCACAAAACACTGACTGCAGTGGAGTTTAAAGATGTACACTGCAAATTTCTTCAGCACAGCCAGCCTGCTCTGTCGTGTGTATTGATAAAAGCAGCCCTTTGTTGTTCTTATGAAGATTGGCTAAGGAAGCACCAGATATCTGTGTGATGCTACCTGTGCCAGCACTAGGTATTATTTTAATCCCTAGATCTCAAAAACTATATATATAAAGAGAATTAGGGTTGTATCATCACTTGGATTTTTCTTTGGTGATTTTGTTGCATAATGTCATTGAGATGAGATTGCTTTAGATGTAGACAAGGTTATTTTTTGGCTCTGGAAAACAATAACCAAACGTCAGGGACTCCTGAGAATACTTAAGGGTGGTTTACTCCATCAAGCAAAGGAATTAATGCATAATAATCTCTGAATTGTTAGAAAACTTAAGGGGATCCAGGTCACCACAGTGAGTCATTATATCATTGATTAATGCAGGATTGTCTTTAAGTTATCCTTAAAATTATCTTTCAGTTCAATCCAGGTATCAAAACCTGGGGAGGCGAGTGTATTTCCAGGGGAGAAATTAAATGGTTTGGGGTGTCTTTAAAGTTTGGCTTTTCTCCTTAAAACAAAACCACTGAATCAGAGTGGTTGAGGTTGGAAAGGACCTCCGGAGGTCACCTGCTAAAGCAGGGCCACCTAGACGCGGTTGTCCAGGACTGCGTCCAGATGGCTTTTGAATATCTCCAAGCATAGAGACTCCACAAGCTCTCTGGACAACCTGTGCCAGTGCTTGGTCACCCTGATAGTACAAAAGTGTTTCCTGATGTTCAGACAGAGCCTCCTGTGCAATTTGCACCCATTGCCTGTGGTCCTGTCACTAGGCACCGATGAAAAGAGCCTGGCTCTGTCCTCCTTGCAGCCTCCCTTCAGGTGTTTCTATATGTTATAGGAATGCCTTGAGCTTTCTCTTCTCCAAGCAGAACAGTCCCAGGTCTCTCAGCCTTTCCTCATGGCAGAGATGTTCCAATCCCTTAATCACCCTCATCGCCCTTCATTGGACTTTCTCGAGTATGTCCATGTACTGAGGAGCCCAGAACTGGACACTGCTCCAGGTGTGGGCTCACCAGTGCTGAGCAGAGGGGCAGGATCACCTCCCTTGACCTGCTGGCAGCAACACTCCTAACGCAGACCAAGATACCATTAGCCCATTTGTTGCAAGAGCTTGTTGCTGGCACACCACTTTCTCCTTGACAGAAAATGAAGTACCTTGTTTTGAGAAACAAGCCCCTGAAGTACACATATTAAGAATAGGTGTACTGAGGGTGGAAGTTTTGTTGAAAGGATATCTTTGTTTGGCTGCAACTATTTTTGAATATTCCCTGTTGTATAGAACTATCTGATCCATTCTAAAAGTGTAAACAATTGAAATAGCAATTGTTGCTCTTTAGCAGTATTTATCTAAGTCATGCTATTTGTCAGGGGTGGATTAGTAAAGTCTACAGAGGATTTCTGTGACAGGAATTAATCTGAGCTTGCCCTTCAGTGTATTTCCCAAGTCATCGTCATAGGACCTCTAGGCCTGAAGATATTTTGATTTGTTTGCAGAGGATTGTACTATACATAGGTACTGGCTGAATGCTGTAAATGTGTGCAATATGTAAACCTGCCTTCCTGCCAGAGGAAAGGTGCTGGCAATGGCTGCAGATAGGAGTTCATTATTTTCCTTGTACTAAGGCCAAAGTTTTTGGCTTTGTGCAAAAGAGTCATCATCTGAAATCCCACAGAAGAATCTTTAAGCTGAACAAATTGTGGTGGAAGGTTGGCAGAAAAGAACAGGAGGAAAAAACTGTAAAGTTTGGTGTAGACTGGAATGTTTTGGGTGGGAAGATCTGTTTGAAGAAGATTCTGCTTTGGCCATGGTTATAGTATTGTGGTACTTATCTTCTTGAGTCTGTCCTGAGTAACCGTTCCAAAATAGAAGAAGAAGATCTGGATCAGTGTAATGTGTTGTAGTATTCATTAGATACGCCGTTAAAAAAAAAAACATGACTCTATGGTCCCTGAATGGTTAGCCATGTGGTTAATTCCTGTGCTTTATGTATGTCAAATACCTACCCTTGGCTCAGAATTGGAACATCTTAGCACAGTTATTGAAACTGGAGCTGTAGACATGATTTCCTGTACAAATCTCAGTGTAGTACCGTTTCTTGATTATTTTGCATGTCCTTTGTGTTTGATTTCTAGTTTATTTAAACCCAGTTCCCATCAGACTGATGAGTTTCTGGAATCGGATTTGTGTTTTTTTAAAAGTAATAATATACTCAAATCAGCTGTGCTTTGCATCTTGTGTTTTCTTGCAGAACTAAAGATAGTATGTATCATGCACTCACTTATGCCACCATATTGGAAATGCAAGCTATGATGACTTTTGATCCTCAGGACATACTGAATGCAGGAAACACAATGAAGGAAGCTCAAGCCACCTGTCAAAAGTAAGTGTGGAGCAATTCAGTCAATAAATAGTCCCTTCATGGGAACATTTTGAAGGACATATGGGTTAAAAAAGGACATGTAATTTCATAGAAATCATAGGAAAACTGAGGTTGGAAGGGACATCAGGAGGTCATCTAGGCTAGCCTCCTGCTCAAAGGAGGGTCAGTTATGAGGTCGGACTACATAACTTAGGGTTTTCAGCAGTCTAGTCTTGAAAACTTCAGTTTACTGCAATGTCTGATTTTTCTTGTCAATTAGGTTTTTGTCCTATCTGTAGCCCCGGTTCCACAGTGTCTGGAAGTCATTTACCATTTACAGACACTGCAGAATCTTATCATTTTGGTGATGGTTGTACTGTAGCTAGCTGTCTTTGAGTCAGCTGTGCTCCCACTTCTGTACGCACGTGCGCACATGCATCCATACCCACACACACACACAAAATAAATCAAAAAGCCCCCTCCTCCCCTTCATTCATCAAGACAGGTTTATGCTCATGAAGGGTAAAAGATGGATCCCAGGAGGACTGTGATGACTAAGTTCTGTATGGAGTATGCTGAAGCTTGTATATGTGGTAAGATGACAGAGGGTTGGTGAGCACTAGGGGTATGTTAGGGACTGTAGGGGTGGCCAGCTGAAAGATGCCATTCTCTGTTGTTGATGCTTCATATTCAGAATGACCAAACTGACTTTTCTGCAGATTTAGGAAGAAATCTACAGTAGCTGATTCTATCAACAACCTTGTGCATAGACAAAGCCTTGAGCACTTTACTGAAGGTAACATTATCTCTAACGTGCATAACGTTTTCTTCCTTTTTTTTTTTTTCTTTTTTTTTCCCTGCAATTGGAATTGTGTGAGTTGGGTGAATTGCTCACCTAACATGTTTTTGCGGGTTGTGAGTTCACTGACAAAATTGCTGCTTTGGCATTTGCTGCATCTGTGTTTTGGTGATTGCTATGTCATGTCACCACATCCAAAAATCGCTGTTTTTGTTGATTGCTGACTCAGCATTTCAAAAAGTTGCTGGTAAAGAAACAGCTAGAAACAAGTATTGAAATGCCTAGAAAGGTTCTAGATGTACAAATTCCTGGAAAGCACCAGAGAAGGTCCTGCAAAGTGCCTGTAACTGTGTGTCGTTTCTGTTTGGAGTTACTTCAGTAGTCTACAACTGAAGTACTACAGCACATTTAGAAAAGATTTTTCTCAGGTTGAGCTTTGTGATCATATTTCTGTATTAATGGGCTAAGTTTTTGTTAATGGCTTTTTGTCTGATTGATTTGTTTTCTTTCCCCACTCTGTGTGACACTAGAGGAAATTCATGCAGAAATTTGCTATGCTGAATGTTTACTTCAGAGAGCAGCACTCACATTCCTCCAGGTATGGATTCCTATGTGGCTTGGGGGGGGCGGGAGGAATGTATACATCGTACAGGTTTCTTTGTTTTAAATTAATGAAATGGTAGAAGACCCTAGTTACCCTAATAGTGTACGACACTTTCATCTGGATTAAAACTGGATTCTATCTGGACTATCTGCTGATGAGGTAGTAGAATGTTTTGTTATCCCTTATGTTTATCATTATTATGAATGCAAGCAAGATTTTAATTTCAGTCAGGCTGGTGTTTGCTTTCCCAAGGCTGCTTTCTCACTTGTTTGTTCTTGAACAGCTATTATGGTCTGCATAGATATTAGGCTCCACACATGCATTTTGCTAAACAGTGCTGCCTGTCTTTTGTGCCCCATTGAATTTTATCTGTTTGTACTAAGGAAGCTTGATTTGGTTGGTGGATCAACATTAGCAATGCTTACCTGGACTCCAGCTTGCAATTTAAATTTTTAATCATAGTGGAAATAACTGATTTTTCTTCCTGATTTGTCTTTACTTGCTGTATGACAGTGGGCCTCTTCATCTATACAGAGAGGATAATAAAAGTCACATTCACAAAGAGCTGCTGCTTCTTGGCTCGAAGATGCTCATAGAGAGCAAAATGCAGGTGGTGATTTTGTTTGGGAGTTACCAGATGGGCTCTGATTTAGGTTGCTTATGATAGTTTATGAACCGTGTAACCTTTTTTGGCAATCCACCATGCCCCTCTGCTTCATAGCAAAACCAGTAGTCAGAGTAGCTTCTTCTGGAGGTTTTTAGAGTGCTGATGATGGTGACTTTAGGGTGAGATGCTGGATTTTTAAATGGCTGAGGTGTAGCTACCTATTTCCATGTTCCTGGTGCTTTAGGATGAGTAGTCTCTAGCACTGGTGACAGTTTGGGTGATATAAGTTACAATGGAAGCAAGGCTTTTCAGAATATCTCTATTATGCCTGTAAGAAAGGAGTGTTTAATGCAGTGTCTTTTGGTTTTAAGCACTATTTTTGCAGTTATCTGTTTTTAAAGATGTTTATAGATACGTGAGAAATTTAAGAGTAAGAAAATAATTTCTTGTCCTCTTCTGCACAAAGAATTTCTGTTCATTTGCTTCCTCTTCTATTCTGAGTTTAATTTTTCATGAACACATGAACTGGTTTTAAAAATTAAACAAAGGCTTTTGGTTCCAACAGCTATTGAAGTGGATTAGTTCTAATGCTTTATGTAAATGACCACATCCAGTTGAAAACACATAGAAGTTAGTCTCAGGATTTTTCAGGGGCTGGACTATTCTCACGTTGGTTATCTCTGTTGTTGGTCTTATGAGTATTCTGAGTTTAAACAGTTCAAAACCATCTTCGTTCCTCTTTTCATTTTCCATTCAAAGGAAAATATAACTGAACCTTTACATATGGTTAGGTATGCTATACCTCCTGTTGCCAAAAAAACCCTGAGTTTTTCTACGGAACAAATAAAAACAGGGCTGCATTTTTCTGCGGTTATTTTGTTTGCGTGCGATTAAGATTCAAGTCTCTGGGGAGACGTCATCAGGAATTACGTGTTCATTTATGGTGCATAGTTTCTGTCCTCAGTGGTCACTCTTGATAATGTTGCTTAATGGTGACTGTCAAGCACACAGGATCGTGGTGATGTTTCAGGCACAGGAGTAAGCCCCTGCCCTTCAGTTCAGGCTATTAGGCTTCCTACACTAGTTCACAGAAAGCAAAGCCTGGAAGAATTTGAACTGTAACTTTGGTTGGATTATCTTCCTGACTTACAGGAGGATGGAATGCTCTTTGAGGCAGGTTCTGTCTCTTTGTTCACATATCAATGAGCACAGTTGAGCCCTGTTTACCTAAAAGTAACAGTAAAACAACCAACTGTTCGTCTAATCTATGTTATTTTCTCCACAGTGCTTCATGCAGCCTCTTAAAATACCATCACAGAAAAATCGTCTGCTAAAATACATGTAGTTTTCCTATCCCAAAGTAATATCAGGTATCAAAACAAACCATAATGACAGATTATATATGATGAGTGAGGTGAGAAACTGCCACCAGAAAGTTACTACAGAGTTCTGTCATTGGGGTACAACTGTAAACTAATGGTACCTCAGATACACTTTGCTGTAAGTTCTCAGTTCATACAGCTGGTAATGTAACATTACTGCTGCGTCCAGCTCTGGAGCCCTCAGCATAGGAAAGACATGGACCTGTTGGAGCAAGTCTGGAGTAGGCCACAAAACCGATCGGAGGGATGGAACACCTCTCCCGTGAGGACAGGCTGGGAGAACTGGGGTTATTCAGCCTGGAGAAGAGAAGGCTCCAGGGACACCTTATTGCAGCCTGCCAGTACTTCAAGGGGGCTTATAAGAAAGATGGGGACAGACTTTTTATCAGGGGCTGTTGCAATGGGACAAGGGGTAATGGTTTTAAACTAAAAGAGAGCAGATTTAGACTACATATAAGGAAGACATTTTTCACCATGAGTGTGGTGAAGCACTGGCACAAGTTGCCCAGAGAAGTGGTGGATGCCCCATCCCTGGAAGCATTCCAGGTCAGGTTGGATGGGGCTCTGAGCAACCTGATCAAGTTGAAGATCCTCACTGCAGGGGGGTTGGACTAGATGACCATGAAAGGTCCCTTCCAACCCAAACTATCGTATGATTCTATGTTGCCATACTAGTATGGATCTCATAGATACGTGAATATTCAGACCAGAAAGAGCATATCCTGTATAACTTTACTTAACATGCTTCCTTTTTAGGATGTGAAACTATATTCTGTAGACTCCTGAGGACAGACAGTTACTTGTATCCGGTGCTGAGCCAGGAAATGTTCAGATCTTGACTGTCCTGAAGGACAAATGAGAGCGCTATTTTTTGAAAGAGCCGCAAATGCATCTACCCTAGGTGCCATTCATTAGCTTAGTCCCTGTGTTCATTAATGCAAATTCAGATGGTCCAAAGGTCAGAGGGGCTAAACTAATCACAGAAGGCATCAAAATAAAGTGTATACATCTGAACACAGTAAAAGTATTTTAATATAAAAAGGACATCTTAAATCCATGTATTGTTTCTCAGAGACTTATATTGTCTGTGTTGTGATGGTTATATTCAAGGCATGTCTTCATCTCAAGAAGACAAAAGCTCTTTATAATGCTTATAAACTGCTATTGCTAATGTGTTTCCTTTCTAACAGGATGAGAATATGGTTAGCTTCATAAAAGGAGGCATCAAAGTCCGAAACAGTTACCAAACATACAGGTAAGAGTAATGATGTGATTAAGCGTACTCTTTCAGTAAAAAGTGCTGCTGGTTGAGTTGTCCAATTCACAAATTAATTACTGTTGTAGGTATTGTGGCCTTTATTATGGGCCTCGTGTCTATAGCCCTTCTCAGCCCACACAAATTCCTCCTTTGCATAACAAAGGACATTGATGTTATGGTTGATCCGGATTGTAAAGATAGTGGGATATTATTATGGTATGATATTATTATATCCCAACTATCTGTTAGCAACAACCAGCAGATAAAAACATGACAGCCTGAACACAAATATGTGGCTGCCATTAAAACAGTGTTTTTCTTCTCCTAGTAATTAACAAAATAAACTAAAACAATAGTGTGAAAAATACATAGCTATAGAAAGCTTGGAGACCAAACAGGTTCAGATCCAGCTGGATTACACAGGAAAGTAAAGGGACACTACAAAGTTGAGATCTATGAAAGTTAAAAAACTAAGTGAAAAATAATTTCTGATATACCTGCCCATTCTAAAATATTTCTTACAGTTGTCTTTTCCTATATATAACAAAACGTTCTTTTGCATGAACATGCACAAAAAGGGAATATCCAATACAGGAATTAGTGAAACTCAAATCAAATTTTCTAATTTAAATTTAACTCTCCTGCACTGCCCCATCATCTCTTTTTGCAGTAGTAAAGGTTGGTGTTACTCCAAACAGCTATTCTTTGAAACATTTTCAGGGAGAAATGTGGTTGCAAGTTGACTATGTCTGTTTGACAGAAATTAACCTCCAGGACTCCATGTTTTTTAACTGATAGTAATGTGACAGAAATGATTTGTTGCTAAATCCAACAAAATTTTGTACGTGTTGTTCACCTGGGTGAGGTGACAAATTGACCTCTTTTGAACTACTGTGTAGTTCAAGGTAATTGGGTTAGTTTCTTACTGAATTGTAATTAATCGTTCTATTTACTGACAATGTAACAATCTTGTACATTTTCAGGGAGCTGGACAGTCTGATACAGTCTCCACATTACGTCAAAGGAGAGAACCATCTTCATTTTGAGGGAGGTGTAAAACTTGGAGTTGGAGCATTTAATCTGGTATGTACCAGATATGTATGTTCTTCTCTTGAGCTGAAGTCCTGCAACCTCCTGAAAATGATCTTAACTTAAATACCTGAGACGTTCTACTGACATCAGCGTTACCTTATTTTAACCATATGATTAGTACGTGTGCTGACGCTTGCAGGATCCCAGTCTTTGGTCTAAGAACATCAGATAGTAGTACACTTTAGAAATAAAGAGACTGTTACTCACAACATGGGTAGTACTGCTGTGTGTGTGCAGACCCACTTGCACATCCTCGTGGGGAAATTCATGGCTCATCTGACATGGGCTAAGGGTATGTTCTTTGAGAATATAGCTGAGTGCCTGTGCCCAGCTTCCAGTAAGGGTGTTCATTAGCCAAGTGACCAATGCTTGGGAGGCATTTGGAGGGGAGGTGTTAGAGTCTCATGAGAAGGGACCCACTGGGATGGAGGCCAGGAGAAGCCTTGCACAGAAGCAGCAGTTGCCTGTGCTTGTTGTCTTGCTTGCTGAAACAGTTGACGTTTACTGTTTAGCTGGCACTTGGGAAGCAAGTGACTTGGCTGTTGGTGGGGCAGGGTACAGGAACAGCGTGGGGTGCTGTTCAGGTCACTGCTGGCTGTTGTTGCTTGTGTTCTGGTCGGAAAGCGAGTGGTTATATGGTACAGGATGGTTGATGACCCAGAGATGGTGAGGGGCAACATGATTGTTCAGGTGATGGGCTGCAGAAAGTGCCTGGTGCTTCCCATTGCTTGCATTACTTTGCGTGAGTCTGGCACATAACAAAATGCTAGATTTGCTGCACAAAGAACAAATGTGTATTGTGTGGTATACACCCCGTATTTCTGAAACATCCAAGAAGTACTAGCGTTACTAAGCATGTGCTGTGTAAGCATATTTCTGTGCAGGGAATCCTGGAGACACAGGGTCTCTCTATTAAACGGATATTTCTGTTTAAATTGTATGTAAAAATGTAGCAGGTGTATACGTTTACCCAGGAAATTGTCAAACATGTAAAGATATTTTTAGTAATATTCGTGATTATTTCTTGTGTTTGGAAAAGTTGTATGAGGCAGCTGGTAGCTGAGAGACAGAAAGTGTATTACTGCATAACTAACTGTTGCATTTCTTTCTTTAGACGTTGTCAATGTTTCCTGCACGGATTCTGAGATTACTGGAGTTTGTTGGATTTTCCGGAAACAAGGTAAATGTGAACTAAATATCATTGGTACATTCCACCCACTCTTAAATTAAAAAATGGACACAGGGGTTTCTCTCTTTTTCCTCATGTTACCTGTAACCCTCTGAAATGCTCCTGATTGGTATCACATGCGCACTGTTGGCAGCGATGCTTTCATGCAGCTCAGTTTTCCTTTATATTTTTGTCTGAACTATTACACTTCAAAGACTGTGATACCATCGTTCCATGATGATACAGTTGTGAAACATGATAAAGACAGTGGCTAATACAATGATGTCGACATACTTAATTTTTTAGTTACTAGTATTTTGATTTATGCTTTGCTTGTGCTTAGAAGTCCATAGCCAAAAGGGTATTCTTAGTTTTTAATATATTAGCTTACTTGATAGTTACTGTCATTACAGTATCTGAATGTCCCTGCATGACATCCAGTTGCAGGGGGCAGAGGGAATCGATTTCACTTCTGATATTTTTTTTTTTTCCCCCTCCATGTCTTTAGTAGCAACTGGTAACTTGAGTGTGGCACCTAAATTCTCTTTTTCTAAAAGAGTAAGTGCTTTTTTGCCTAGAGAGTAACCGGTCTGACATGTGTTGTTCATGCACACAATTTAAGGACAGAAGTTTATTAATGAAGCACCAGTAAACTCACATGAACCTGATTCATTTTGCAGGGCAGATGCACAGAAAGTGCCACTCCTGCTGTGTTAGTTTTTTGTAGCTTTGTTGTTTTAAACTAGGATACTAAATTGATGGGAATATCTTCGCCTTGATACTTCATACCTGCCCTTGTCTCTCACTCTACCACCATGTTCTCATGAGATTCACTCAAAGTTGGGTTCCTGGATTAAGAAAACATGGTCTCTTTAACCTAAACCACTAGTCATGTTTATTTCATAAATGCTGGGTAAAGTAAATGTTTCATGTCCTGAAAATGCAACGAAAGCTGTATAAACAAGTTAAAACTTAACTCTTTCATAATGCTTTCTATTTACAAAACAAGTTTCAAGGAGAATGTGTCTCCTTAATCAGAGCTGCAACCTTATGTGACAGGTGGGTGAGTGTCATCACCATTTTATTAGTTTACAGGAAGGATCTTAGATCTGAAAATAAAATGTCTTGTTTAAAAGCAAGGAGCTTTTGGCAGAGCATGGATTAGAACTTCAAAATTTCCAGGAGCAGTTTCACAAGCATTAGAGGCAAAAATCAAATAGTTCTACCTGCCAATTACAAAAACGAAGAACACCTAAAGCAAAATATTCTCCTAGAAATGTAAGGGCAGTTCACGTACCAGCACAGTTCTGAGAATACTTTGCTGAACACTCATCTTATTACTGCAATTGAAAATTGTCCCACTAATTGAATTTCAGTTGTTTTCTTTTGGCTCCGGGATTTCTTGTATGCTTATGAGTGGGCTGATATTTGTCTTGATGAGTCAGCTTCTGTTCCAGTTTTTTAATAACTCACTGAAGCATGACCTAGATTACCGTAAATTTAAGCAAAAACCGGCACACCATAAAAAAGAAGTTTTTTAAACACGTTGATCAAAGTTCATTAAGGGTCATTTATTTTAACATACTAAAAAAGTCTTTCTGTATTTAACATTTGTGAGATGCACAAAGCCAAAAACAAAATTGCAATTGCATTTGCAATCCTTTCCAGCGGTGATTTACCAAAGCTTGAAGGAGAAGGCTGTCCCTTGCTGTACAGACAAGAGTTTTGAAGGTGAAAGAAACAGTGATAGAGGAGGAGAGGGAGAGTTTGCGTATGTGCAGCACCCCATCCAGAAGACAGGAGTTTTGAATACATCTGTGTTTGATCTTGCAGTCTTTTCCATTAAATGCTCATGATGAACATCAGACTGTGCAAAAGACAAGAGAGCCATGGTTAGTGCCTTGAGCTGTTTACAGTTTACCTGAGAGCACTACAGTGCACTGGAGGACAGCTCGCTTTTGGTGTGGGTCATGTGTTTATTAAAACTGGATATAAAATTGCAGCGCGATATCTTCCACAATACTAATCTGCCTTGAAGCCAGCAGATTTGCCCTTAGGGACTCTTCTTGTCTCTCAGACATGTCATATCTGATAGTAAATGAGGACATGCCCAAAGCTCCATTACTTCCTAAGTCATTTGTGGGCAACATGATCAGCTTAACAGCAATCTGGAGTCTCAAAATAGTTGGTAGGATAAGTTCAAAAAAGTATAAAAGCAGCCCGAGGCCAAGTTTGTTCCCTTCCACTCCCAAGATGTGCCAGCTGTGCCATTCTCACTGTTCAAGCTCCTTTCCCCTGTACCATTCATCAAAATATGGGCGTATTTGTGTTTAATGGCATGGGCCCTGCATTTGGGCATTGAGGTTCAATGCAGTTTTGTCCAATTTCATGAGAGATTTTTTGTAGGCAGAGAGATGTAGTACACACTGTCAGGTACGCTGCGGTGGGGAGGCATGCCTTCCCCACTCCCTGGGCAGTAGGTGGAGTATGTGTCCCATCTGGACTTTTTGTGTTTAATAACTAACTTCTGGTGTGAGATCAGAAGAGTCCTTGCCTGATCTCCCATGTAAGCATTGAACCCTGCTTACTGACCCCTCTGCCAGGTCTCAGGCTAATATTTACTCCTGTTCTTATTTTATAGATGATTACAAATACTGTGCTGCTAAACTAAAAAGATTTGACGTGAGCCCACTGTATATGAAGTGCAATTTGTCAGAGGGCCGGATGACAGCATGATTTCAGGGGAAGGCAGGAAAACTTTCAGATAGAACTGATTTCTTTCAAATTATACTTTTTGCTGTGGGAGGACATTTTTCCCAAAGCAGCTGAGCTGAAGAATATTTTTGATGTCTTAATTTGTAATAAATGGAATTCCACTTTCCTACTAAGCGTCTTCTTGATTTGCATTTTAGTCTCTTCTGCAAATTTTAAATGAAGGTTAAATCTGAAATTATTTCATGGGATACATTCAAAGGCCACATCTACCAGTTGAATTAGTCTGTTCTTCATAAAAGCTCTTAGTATTATTCATCTTCCTTGCTAAGCCTGCAGTAATGTGATCAGATGATGAGACATGGATGATGACCTTGCTTTATTTTCATTGTCAAGATCCCCAATTAAAAGAGAATGATTTAAAAACATCGTTCAAGAGCTTCCGCTTTGGGAAAGTAGGTGGATTTTAGTTGGTGACAGCTGAAATAAATACAAATGAGTCTCAACGCTGTCTGATAATGGTTTTGAGCATTGTTCTTGTTCATTCTGCATTTACTATGGGAATGCCCACAGCTTATGTGGGGAGTCCTGAATGAGAGAGCATTGGATGGCTTGGAACAAGGATCAAATTAATGAGATATTGATGTAATACAATGTAGTGACAGTCTTGGGAATTAAGAGGTTGTGGGATGTTATAAGCAACTTGCACAGAAAGGCGAGGGTTATCACATTGGATCAGATTTGTGTCTAAGAAGTGTCATCACTCCCTGTTCTGTGTTATACCTTATGCCCTTCAGAATAACTTACATTTTGTGTGAAAACAAAACCTAATGTGTTAATATCATTTAAGTATTTTGGAGAGCACTTGTTGCCTTGACATGTGTTTTATATTGTAGCAATATAAATAGCCCTGTAATAGACTTTGTTTGGGAGCTCATTCCTGGTGTACCGGGATTGCTCGTATCACCTATGGCATAGGTGTGGGAGGTATTTATGGGTTATTTATGGTTAGAAGGTGTGTCCTAATAATTAAATGTAATATACTCACTTAGTGACTGGCAGCAGTGGGTGTAGTTTGTTTACGGAGTTACTTCTTAGGCTCAAGTAGTAGCTGCTTGTGATTTAGTACTGAGAGGCTCAGTTTGATCCCCAGTGAGGATTACATGGGTGTAATAGCACTGCCCAACTCACGACACCTCACTTAGTTGATTAGGTTTGCCGGCTGATCTCCGAAGGCTCCCTGTGGAGAAGGAGTAGGTGCTTGAGAAGGTGATTCACGATGTCTGACCTAGGCTTCTGTGCTGAATTGCTCCTTGGGGCACTGCCCCTGTCTCTGCCAGCCACGGAGGGAGGCTGGCTGAGCGTGATATCTAAAACACGTTTCCCAGTGACACCCTCATCATCCCGCTCTCCTGGGGATCTCATCATAACAGAAGCAGTCTGCAAAAGTTTTTTTGAGGAGAAGCAGCTTTGTTGCAGCCTGAAAGCCTGAAAGCAAGTGTTGTAATGCTAATAACTACTTCTAGATTTTTTTTTTTCTTCAGACTGTGTCTACTGATTATATTGTTACTTTAATACAGGAAGTTTGGGGTATTCAAGTGACAGAGTGAAAAGTAAGCACTGTTTGTCCACCTGTACTGGACAAAACAGGATTATGGAAGCTCGGTGAGCTTCCCATACCTGCGTAACTACTTGGCTTAAGAATTTAGCCTCAAGTATGCCAGATTTGCAGCCCTCTTCTGATGAATGGGAATGTTCTTAGCCCAGGTACTTCGGTTACTGCTTTCCAGGATGCAGTCCCACACAGAGTAGGTGTGGGTTGCATTCCTTGTTCATACAGATGGTAACTCTGTGTTTGGCTGTATTAAAATACATTTTTAGGACTAAAATATGTAAGTGAGGTTAACTTGACAAATAATCATATGACTAATACAGTTTGTTTCTCTGTCATTCTTAGTGCTATTCACAAACGTGATCAGCTGTCTTACGTGTATTTTTACATTATATGGAAGATGTCAAACATTGTAAGGACTAGTACTGATGTCAGTAAAGGCTTGGTGAAATATCCGGCCTGATGACTTTTAACTTCAAAAAAATGTACTTTGGAAATCTACTTTGGAATTTTTTTCTGCCAAAACTCATTCCACTCAATGTTTTGTCTTAATTCTACCTTGCAGTGCTACTTTTTTTAAAAAATTCAAATATTTGTGGTTTTCCTCTGGGCAGTTTAAAGAAGCTGAATATATCGTATTTTGTTAGTTATCTGTATCAATCAAACTTTTACTCTCAGCAGAAAACGAAGTTGGCTTGATTTCTGTCTTGTAATTTCTTCTGAAGTGACATACAAGTCATTGTTTTCATTATTTTATCCAGGCTAGATACCATACTAACTGACCTGCAAATATGTGTGTTAATGGCACAATATGTACTAGTATAATGTACTATAACAGTAATTAAAATAATAATTTAAAAAAATCACAGAATAACTGTATTTATATGAAAACAATTAACCACACTAGTTAAGTGAGAAAGTACATGTATGATGAAAACTAGAATATGATTAGAGGCTTCAGAGTTCGCACAGTAAGTGGTAAAGCTGAGGTAGCGTAACACCCTTCTGTTGGCAAGGACACATAAAAAAATGAAAATCTGCGTTGAGATCATGCTCTGAGTGCTCTCTCTGATACCTTCCGCAGTGGCTCCGATAGACATCCCTCCGGGTCCCTATTTATAGTGTAGCTGGTTTGAAAGGATGTCCTTATAGGTCTCATACATCATGTTCCAGTAACTTTCCATTGCAGTCATAGTGTAACTTTTAAACAGAATTTTCCCCAGCACTCAGTGGATGTTCTACTGTGCATATTTACTAGCAGGCAGATCTCATGTTTAATAAGTTTGCGTATTTATATTTTGCTGTTGATACCACGGAACCAGTCCTAGAACGGGCTGCTAAATGCTGTTGCCTCAGGACCTTGAACCCTTACAGTTGGTTATCCATCATGCTCTCACTGAATATGAATACAGCATTATACTTGATTGCTTTAGTTCTTCCCAAAGGGAACAGAAATATTCTTCTTTCATCATATTTTTCCGCTGGTGGTAGCAGGCAAACATCATTGCAAAGCTCCTTTTGTTCTTAACATACTTAAAAATATCCTTTTGTCCTATTAGCCTTTGCCCTGCTAGTTGCAGATTTTATTTTTTTCATGCTATTTTTAACTTGCTTATGCAGTTTGCACTTACTAACAACAAACGTGGATACACTGCATAATGGCAATATGTGTTATTTGCCTTGCATTTCAAAACTCTGTGGTTTTTTGTTTCTGGAATACTCTTTAGCAGCACTTAGATGATGGTGATAAGTTGTCTCACAGTCTCTTATGTTAAGCAAGTAATAAATCCCAAATTGCTGCTCTGTCATCAGATGTTTTCCAGGCTAAGCAGTAACTCCATGAAAAACTGTTAGATAACTTCGTATGTGTGTTTTAATCCTTGATTGCTATGTAAGCAATGTATGTCAGTGCATTTTGGGAATTTGATGAGTGAGCAATCTGTAGATGACGCTGCCGAAGTTAACAAACTATCTAAACACAGCTTTGGTCCGTTTCCAATACTTTGCCATCCTCACCTCTGTTTGCACAGGAGCATGGTCTGCTGCAGCTTCAAGAAGGAGCATCATCATACAGCTTTAGGTCGGTGCTGTGTACCATGCTGTTGCTTTGCTATCATACTTTCATGACCTTTGTGTTAGGTAAGATTGTTTATAATAACTCTTGGATTTGATTAGTTCTTGTGGGACACAGAGGGGAAAAAGATGATTCCATCACCTATTTGTTGCTGAATTGTTTGTTCATGATCAGGTTAAATATAACTCATTTGTGGTTGATTTTACAATCTCATAACTGAAGAGAATGTCTTAATCTTCAAAGTGGAGGTTTGCTTAACACATAAGAAGGGAGATGATGGGGATAGCAAAGGAAGTTGTGAGAACTAAACCTGCCAGTAGTCAGGTGCATTATCTGGGAGTTTAAAATAATGGCTGTGAGTGATGACTTCCTGAATACTTTGTTCATGTGTATATGTCATCCCTGATTTCTTGGGGAGGTGGTAGCTTTCCTGCTGAGGTACACTTTCCTGTTATCTCCTACTAAAGCATTCTACAAAATGTGTTGGGCTGCACATAAGTGAGTTTTCCAGTCAATAAGCACAATGTTGTTCAGGTCTTCCTGCTTGCTGGCTTAGTGCAACACCTGTGTTTATGCCTTACTTATCAGAGAGAGGAACTGAAATATTGGTCAGATGAGGATGGCTAATCAGTACCTTGCATTCCTGGTTTGTTTTTTTTTTTTTCTTTCATTACTATTTTTATCACATGCATTTTTGCATTCTAGGGACAGGAAAAGGAAATGTTGAGGAAGCAGAAAGACTACTTAAGCCTTACTTGGCTCGCTATCCAAAGGTAAAATGAATCATAATTTAGTTTGGTATGATTGCTTAATGTTTTCTTGGCAAATAACAAAGATCTAGACTGTACAGTCAGCTTGAAAACTGTTATAGAATACTTGTATTTTTATTATTATTTATTACAGGGAGCCATATTCCTGTTTTTTGCAGGCAGGATAGAAACACTAAAGGGTAATATTGATGCGGTAAGTAATCCTTTTGCTCTTGGGAAAGTAAGTCTCAAAAGCTTTAGAAAAATTCCTCCAGGAACCATGTTTCCTTTTTGGCCATTGCTTCCTGTGGCTTTGGCCTATATGTCTTTTATAGTTTATGAATTACAGATAGGAGTTTTGAAAATTTTTGACTAGCTTGTTTGACCAGCTTGTTTTGCTACCCTTCTCAAGTTCTGCTGATAATCTAGTACACCAGTATTAATGACAGAGTTTTCTCATTTTCTTTCATATCCTGAAGCAAGTTGTGCCTTTAATAACATCCAGTGGTAATCCTTTGCCTTCAGTCTTCAGTGGAGAGTCATAAAAGACGTGAAAGAATTAGGGAGGTGAAGAATGTGTGTCCAAAATACTCTGAGACAGAGTATCAGCTGGTGTGCAGTGCGGTAGCTCCCTTGAAATCTTTGGAGCTGCAACAATAAATGTCAGCTGAGCATCTGCCCTCTGACTTTAGTTTCCTAATTTCCCTAGACACAAACATTCATTTTGTCTATGTTTAGGACTTAATATAACTTCCAAGAATGGGGAGCTCTGCAGCAGGGGTAAACTTGCTAACACCAGGATGACTGTGGAGCCAAGGATCTCTTGTGTGAAACCAGCAGATGTGACTTTGGGGAATATTGGGCTGTTAATAATTTGGAAGTTGCAGGAGCCGTGCTGTCAGTTCATGGAGCCGCAGAGTCCATTACAGCGCTGGTGTATGAGCATTTACACATCATTAAGGCAGTGTTTGGAAATCTCTGTGTTCAGGCAGTTAATAGGTATGAAGAATGTTGTGAGGCTCAGCAATACTGGAAGCAGTTTCATCACATGTGTTACTGGGAGCTCATGTGGTGCTTCACCTACAAGCGCCAGTGGAAGATGGCTTTCTTCTATGCAGACCTGCTAAGCAAAGAAAACACTTGGTCAAAGGTAAGTGAAGTGGAACAGGAAGGCAGTAGGCCCTGTAGTGTCTTTTTAAACTTTTGATCGGATTGAGTTGATTTTTTTGTAGCTTTGAAGATGAAGATTGTCAAACAAAACCTGGTCTGCTGTGGCTCTTAGAGAACAATGTGAATTGCAAACATTCAAATCTGAGCAGATTGGGGACAAACAGAAATCTTTTAGGCCTGACTTGTAGATAAAGAACAACTTGTTAAAGGTGTTCTGCTATGTATTGACTGGTTGTGTCATCAACACATTGCAATTAATGGCACAAGTTGCCATTTCTTTCATTACGTTGTGGATATAAGCTCTTTGGGTGATGACTGAGGCTAGCCATGATGGTGCCTCCAGGATAATAACTTTAATTAGAAGAGGCACCTTCCCCTTGAAGGGAAGCTCTTCCATCCAGAACCCTGGTAGCTTCCCTCCCTCGGTCTTCCCCTAAGCCCCAGGGAAATCTGTCAGAAGTCTGTCATTAAGTCTGGCTGGGGGGGTGTGGTTGGTAGGAGGTTTATTGGTTTGTTTCTTCTTTATGTTATCAAACTGGGGGGGTGGCAATGGGTATTCTGGGGTTTTTTTCTACTACACATTACATGTATTGGCCAAATGGAACCAAAACCAACATGAGGTCCAAGCAGCCAGGTGAGAGTAACTCTCAGTGCTCCCGCTCGGGTGGCCACTGCAGTATGGACCCCCTGGGGATTCCAGCAAGGCATTCAGTCAGGTGCATTCATCTGAAGAGCTCCCACAGCCGGCGGTGCACCACCTGGCTGAAAGCTTTAATATCCTGAAGTGCTGTAGAATTAATGTGTGTCCTTTTAAACTGTGTGCGCCTTACAGAAGCAGAGAAGATGCTTCCTATTCGCATGTAATCTACAGTGCAATGTGATAGTAGCAACCTAGTAACTATGTCAGCTAAATGAAAGATGGTCATGTATATGCACTGTTAGATTCCATTGTAAATAATCACAGCTTAAAATATTACAGAAAACTCCTGAAACTTACGGTTACTGTAGACTCCTCAAAGCAGTACTCAAGAACTCACCAACTGTTATTTTCTACTGTTGCAAGAGTTGTAACGTCATCTGCTGCTTTGCTTTCCTTGATTGCTGAATGTATGATTGCTCAGGAATCCCTGTGAAATCAGTACTTTTGATAACCCTTCAAAAACTGTTTCATGTTCTCCAGAACCTAATATTTGAGATATGCTACCAAGTTGTACTTGGACACGTAGACTACATAGTAGTATTTTTTTTCGCTGAGCATGACTTTTTCATAAGTTTCCTAGCATGTATTCCTGAGAGTAATAAAAATTCACTTTACACAAATATGACATTTGTTCTTGGAATGTGAACATAAACTATAAGCTGGTGCAAAGTAAACAGACATATATGATAGAAAATATTTTCTGTATTCCACTTTCTAAAATACTTATCTCCTGCTTAAAATTTTGTAAGATTACATCTGTTTGTGAGCAAAAGCAGCAACTTCTTCCTCTTTGTTGCTGCTTTGTGCTTTATGTCAATAATGGTGATGCTGTAAATTCATTTTTCTGTACAGATATTCTTGATTGCATTTGCAGGCTACTTATATTTACATGAAAGCTGCTTATCTCAGTATGTTTGGACCAGATGACTGCAGTCCTTTTGGAGACAGCGTAGCTGAATTATTTAGGTAAAATTTGCTAACTCCCAGTTGCAACAGTTTCCTGTCTTTTCACATCACAGTGTTGGGGGAAGAGATTATTCATTGTGCAGTTTGGAAGATCTGCACAAACAGCATTGGCTTGGTAAGAAATTGCAGAATAAAACATTCCTTTAGAATAAAGTGGACCCTGAGTTCAGACAGCAGATTTCTACTGGCCTGGAAATACTTTAGAGATGGGATATTAGGTCTATCAGCCATACAGTGGCTGCTGCTGTTGCATGTGATACTCACATTCTTTTTCAGTTGTTTCCTTTAATCAAAATGGCATGTAAGATAAAAAACCTTCAATGAATTTTGCAACGTGATGTGTACCTCCTTAGTGGAGACATCAGTACAACTTGATTTTGGGGTTTTGAGTCTGAGAGGAATATGAAATAGTTAAATGTGCGAGTGAATATATGCATTATTAATACAGTGGGTTAATCTGATTGTAATGTTTAAGCTCAAAAATGCCTAAACCTTGCTCAGCAAGCTGAGCCAAAGAAAACTGATTACTTTGTTTTGTACAATTTTTCTATAAAATCTAAATGTCACTGTTTTATGTGCTTACACTATACAGATACTTTCCAGGTTTTCTGTATCTTATACAATCATTACAAGCAGATTTCACTGGATTTGGGATCCGTTGTGAAGTGAAGCAGTTTTGTCAGCCGTTCTCCCAAAGACCAAAGCTAGCTTGCCTCTTTCTTAGCCTGTGAAGAGCGATGGGCCCTTTCTAAGTTAGGTGCATCATCTAATTTACTCTTTGGATGGGGAAGAGTCCCTCTTCCTCCTGCTTGACTAAAGAGGAAGCCTAAGATATACATGCCCTGCGTAAAGACAGCTTTTGTGAATGTGTATTGCTCAGCTCCCTCAAAAGTAGCAGTAGCTCAGTATGTAACAGCTTTTTTAAGTTCTCTTTGGTTTGATTTTTTTTTTTTTTTTAAAGTTTGAGTGTTTTTTTCCTAGAGGTTTGCAGAGGAAAAAATCCTTACAATTTCCTTTAAACTTTCAGGATTGTTCCCAGTTTGAAACTGAAAATTGCAGGGAAATCTCTGCCTACAGAAAAGTTTGCAATTCGGAAAGCTCGACGATATCTTTCTTCAAACCCCATTCCTTTGCCTGTTCCACCTTTGGTAAGTTAGAAATACACATACATGCCCCCCCTTATTACCATTTATTTTAATTTATGGAAATAAAACCGAGATAATTAGAATAGTATCTTTCCATGTTTCTAAGGTAAAACCTCTGCAGGAGACTGGAATGTTCCCAAAGCAAAGCCAAATGAATGCGAGGAATGCTGTAAAACTGGGGCATGCCCCAGCCACAGGGAACTAAGCCAGTTGTTTGTGACACGTAAATGTGTTGCATGTGTAACTCATTATTCCGGCTATAGACTAGCGTGTTCCCAGCAGCTTGCTTTTGATTCCCTTCTGAGGAACTTTGCCCTAGGTCTCTTCTGTCATGTGTCATTTACTGAGACTACTAAAAGAAGACATTAAGGTACAAGGGCGGGGGGGTGTCAAAGAAACAGTGCAAGAATTGGGGACTGCATTTAAGCATCTATTTAACGTGCCCCTGAGTGTTTGCAGTTTGGTGCAACTCATGGGTGCTGCGATGAAACAGCCAAATCCTTTAGCCACTTTGGAATACCATTGCATACTGTTGATTTTTTGTATTTCCCCCACCCCCCCCAGCCCGTAATACTGGCCAGTTCCCTGTGGCCAGATGAGAAGAGCTGCGTAAGGCACCCGTTGCCTTGCTCATGGGGCATTTACAAAAATCCGTCTGCAAAGAACATGTAAAAGAACATAAAAGGATTTTGACTCCACAGGTTTGCCAAGTGCAGTGGTGTTAACAATTTCCAGTGCTTTGAGCTGTTGTGTTTGAGAAACAGATGGAGAATTAGTAAATATTCTTTAGGAAAATGCCTGAACAAGGAGAGCCTCTTGGAGACACCAGTGAGTAGTCATTTCTCAGCCCACCAGCTGGGTATGTGACACAGCGCTTCTTGAAGAAATATAGTTGTTACAGCATAGCGTGGGTATTCACAAGGGGACACTTTCCACTAAGTCGTAAGACTGAGATGAGAGAAATAATTAGGCTACTTTGATTTGCCTTTCAGGTTTCAGAGGTTGTAGAGAGTAAGAAATGTACACACCTGGGGCTTGGCTGGGCTCTTCTAATGGGATTTTGGGAGAAGAAGTTTCTGTTCTAAGAGCTCTCCTTGGAGTGGCCGGGCACCGTGTCATTTGTTTCTGCTGCACTTGCATTTCTGAGGCAGCAGATGCCGCAGCTGAACAGTTAAAAGCACTCTGAGGATGTGGAATTGGGTGCAGAATATCATCTCTAGGATTTTTCTTTTCACTGTGAAGGGACTTGCTGAGAGGAGTGAGTCCTCAAAGAAGTCTTAGCCCAGAGATTTAGCCTAACTCAAACTCAAGTTTGAGCACTTCTGTGTCAAAACTGTGTTGACAGATCTGCACTAGATACAGTAAGTTCAGCATGGATTTTCCAATCAATGGAGACCAGATGGTGAAAGCAACACTGACTGGGGTTAACACAGTGTTTCATCTGTTCCAGCCTGACAGCTGCTTGTACTGTTCTATACAGACATTTTATCAAAAAGCTTTACATTATCAAATACAGACTAAGTCATATAAATAAATAGAAGAAATAACCTGTTATGAGGATCAGTCGTAAGTCTATATAATATTTCCATCTTTAGCTTTGTGATTGCTAGTGGCAGTGGGTACATTTGGTCTGGTGATATACTCCAAGAGAGAACCCCAATAACAAGTAGGAATTAAACCAATAGTTTTTAATAAAATTTCCTCTAAGAACAGTTGAATAAGAAAGAAGTTACCTTCTGTGGGAACATCAAACAAACTTGAGAAATTTTAGGGGTTTAGAGTTCAACTCTAAAATTCTGTTGGTTTGAAGCCTGGCTTAAATGTTGTTTTGTTTTGTTGGCCTGAGATTTCATACTTTTTTCTATGGAAGCAATACACTGTAGTTATAGTTATTATTGCCCTGGCTAGGATGGAACTGAAAAACAAGAAGAGACCTTAAAAAAGGGACAGTTAGCCGTGTGCCCTAAGTGTTTTAAGTCTGTCAGTTTTGTTGGTACTTGCCTTCATCTTGTGTTTGCAGTCCGTTCAAGCAATCCTCCTTGCATTGTGTGCAGTAAATGGCTCTTCAGTTGTTTTCCAGGGCTAATTTGTTCTGAAAACCAATGTAACGAGTTTTCAGTTGCAATGAAAATGTTTTGACAAACTGACTTTATTTAAGGAATCTGTAACATTTTTATCATCCAGAGATAAACTGAAGTATTTGATAACTGCATTTATTCGGTACGGTAATTAAGGATGCTGTCATTTCTCCCTGACCCTAGGAAATGATGTATATCTGGAATGGCTATGCTGTAATTGGAAAATGTCCCAATTTAACAGAAGGCATGTTAGAGACTTTAATTGAAGCAGAAGAAGCATTGGCAAGAAGTTCAGGTAATCAGTGATATGGTTCAAGCAGGTATTTTACAGTGCAATAGCTAAAGATATTATCTGTGAATAAAGAGATACTCATTAGTAAAGTTAATCTGATCATAGGAGGAACATAGATAATGAAACCGTGAACTGTTTATGCAGATAGGAATAATTTTCCTTTTTAATATAGCAATAACTTACAATAGTAGCAAGTGATTTTACATCCACAGATGTGTATTAGGAATAGTTTGACATATATTAAAGGACTGTTTATTTTGCTAGCTCAAAATCAGCATATGCACTGACTTGATTTCTTGGATCATGAAGCTTTGTTATCCTCAGACACTGTATTTCAGTTTTGAAGGATAAATATAGAAGGAGACAAGTCAGTCTTCTGTTTTGTGCTGTCAATTTACAATGTGACCTTGGCCTGTTCCGAATAGTGACTTGCTGTTTCCAGCTGTCATGCTTTTCTTGAGTTTTCCTGACAGTGTTTGAAGCTAAACTATTGTATTTTCTCTGTCTCACTGTTAGATTCATAATGCAAGACTCTAACACTATAAAATTATGAATCTGAATGTGCTCATAGCAGCATTGTAATATATAAGATGTAAAAGGAAGACTGTTAGTGGAAGTAATGTCTAGAAATGCAAATCTGATATGCACAATTGTGCCTAGGATAGGTCCCTAAATGTTTGCTTATACAATCCAGGGCAGTTTGTAGGATGTGTTATAAGTAGAGAAAATACATACATGTGAACGTGTTCATGGGACAGGTGTCCAGAAGAGACAACAGATCTGTTTTTTTATTATTCTTCTTATGAAACACCTCTTCTGTGGTCCTGAGTCATCTCACTGCACACATATTTAGCGTGTCAACTTTTGCCCTCTTCCCTACTCTTGCTAAGTTAGTTTGCTGCATAGTCTTTGGGCACCTTCCCTGGGATTTGCTTGTATGTAGGTGCCTCTGTGGGACTTAGCAGTAGAGGTGACTCCAACTGCATAGTCCAAAGGAGAGCAGCTGTTTTCATTTAGCCAAAGGTGGAGAATTGATAAAACACTTGCCTATTAATAGATCAGGTGACTAGAAGTCAAGGAAGGAGAAGAGCTATATATACTAAAGAGCAATAAAGGCATGAGGTTAAGAGATTATAAATCAGACCTCCGTATTTCCAAAGTGGACACCTGAAATTAGTTTTTAGGTGCCAGAACGTAGGTTGTAGAC